GGATTGAATAGAAAAGAGGGACTTTGTGGTTGCAGCGGACGTGTTCTCAGACGCGCCGTCCAGAATATTTTATAAGATGAATTTTTGGGAAGATGTTCCAAGGTGTTTATGCTGTCGTGGGAAAATTTCTGTGAATTGCTTTGGTGTTTTTTTTATTATTATTTTTTTTTTTGTGTGTGTGTGTGTATGTTGAGTTGCTTTGGTGTTTTTGTTATGTCGGGCTAATTCTTAGGAGTCCGACATTTTGTTGATTCTTATTCTAAAAAAAAATGTTTCATTATTATTGATTAATTTCTGCTGGATTGCTTTGGTGTGTTTTTTATTTTTTTTATGTCGGGCTAATTCTTGAGGATTTTGTTGATTTATTCTAAAAATGTTTCATATTATGATAATTTCTGTGAATTGCTTTTGGTGTTTTTTTTTTTTTTTTTTTTTTTTTTTTTTTTGCTTATGTCGGGCTAATTCTTGTGGAGTCCGACATTTTGTTGATTTATTCTAAAAGATGTTTCATTGTTGTTGATAGTTGTATTAATACTCGTAGTTGCTTTTTGTTGTTGATTATGATGTTTTCATTATCCTTTTATTACTAATCCTATCATTATCAATTTTTATTATTGAGTATTGTTGTTTTTATCAACGTCATAATCATCATCTTATTTATATAATCATTATTATTATTATTAATTTATTATTAGCATTCCTACTATTATTGTTATTAATATTATTGCTATTATTATCATTGCTATATTTTTATGCTATTATATTATTGCTATTATTTTTTATTGCTATTATGAATTTAATTGTTATTATTGTTATTATCAATATCTTTATTATCAAATATTATGACTTATTGTCGTTTTGTTGTTGCTGTTCATCACTTTTTTTTATGGAGTTTGTTTGCCCTAATTTTTAATTTTTTTTTGTTATTATTATTACTAATTATTATCATTATTATTAATGATAATAATAGGTAATAGTAATAATAATATTTAAGATTGAATTAATAATATTAATGATGATAATAATATAATAATATTATTATTTCGTTATTATTGATTATTATTATTATTATTTATTATTATTATTTAATTATTAATTATTATTATTATTGTTAGTTATTATTATTATTTAATTAGAGTTATAATTATCATTATTAATTATTATTTATCATTATATCATTATTATTTTTTTTTTATTATCAATCATCATTATTATTATTAGTGGTGTTGGTTGTTGTTGTTTTCATCATCAATTATTATTATTATTTATTATTTATTATTATTATTATTATTATTTATTGATTATTATTTTATTAATTATTATTATTATTATTATTGATTATTATTTATTATTATTATTATTATTATCATTATGTTATTATAAAATCAATTATTGGTTATTTATTATCATTATTTCATTATCATTTAATTACCTATGCTATTTATTATGATTATTATTAGTGTTATTGATCCCTA